GATGCCATTTATGTGACTATGGAAATCCTCTCCAATTGGGGGAATGCAGTCAATGTGGGCTTGATGGAGGTGGAATTCTTTGATTTACATGCTGTCAAGATGTTTGTGTCTCCTCATGATGTGGATATCCGAAATGCGGACTCTCCAGGGGATCTCTCTTGCCTGGTCAATAGAACCCTGAATGTAAGCTCCCCTCATCCCACCTGTACAGGCTCCCTCATTTCAATAGTTTTCTTTATAGTTTATGATCTCTCAGTAAGTTATTTTCTTTCTAAAAAATTTAAACCTGAATTTCACCACTTATTCAGTGACTTTAAATGTATGTAATGTATTGTTTAGGATTTGCAGAATTTTGTGCTCAAAAGTCAGGAGACTGTAATTCTCTCTCCTTGTGTGTTTGCACTGTAATACAGGCTTTAAATACAGGAGCACATTCAATTTATAAAACAATGGACTACAATGTAATGCCTCTATCTGCCAAGATAGAATTTTTCTGGAAAGTCTTGTGTCTCTTCTGCATTTCCTTATTTTTCTTCTAGTGATTAACCTAAATAATTGTGTCTTCTGAAAATTTTGCACCTTCACTTCTTTTTCCAGACTCCTCATATATATTAAACACTGATCTTAGGACAGAAGTTTGGGGCACCCCACTGCTAACCTTTTGCCAAGGGCAGTCATTGGATGGAGTAGAAAGACAAGGTGTTCCAGGCATAGGAGTGGCATGAAGATGAGTGAAAGAATTGAACAAAAGGGATGTGCAGCTTGGAAACATTGGATGAAGTTGAGGCAGTGAGAGGTGGGAAAGGAGAAAGGATGCTCTGTGGTACAGCCATTGAACTCAAGAGTTCTGGGATGAAATCCTGGTCCCATTGAGATTGGTGGCAAAACTACAATTGAGTTCCATAGGGCTAGGATTTCACCTTGGCCATACACTCACTGTGTGACTTTCAGTAAGTCACTTGAGATAAAATTTTCAGAAGTCTTTAAGTTCTACTGAAAGTCAATTGTACTTCAGGTTCTAAGTGACGTAGGTGCTTTTTGAAAAATTTACCCTTAATCTCTCTGAGCCTCAGTTCCCAGTTTGTAAAATAGGGATAATACTGTACTTCTCTCCTTCACACACTGTCTGAAGATAAATTGATTAGTATATGTGAGCCACTCAGATGTAACAGTGATGTGCGGCATATTATTCTGTCCTATTCTATGCAAGTTCTTATACTGCATGTCTTCCAGAATGGTGCAATGTGACTAACATCTATCACATGTGGTTTGATCTTTCTATCATGCTCTTCCCAGGGGAAAATTGTGTGTGCAGCGTAATGTGTGTTTTTTTTATAAATTACATGTACTCTGCGTTATGTGTCTATATGGTCAAAGGCAAGTTTTAAGACATACACCTTCCACTGAGAACAAAAGAGGCTGAGGTTTGTGCGGTTCTTGCAAACTATAAGCAGGAGCAGAGCTGCCTGCAGCCTTGAAGGCAAGAATAAAAATTTTAACTTTCTAATGACTTCCACATCAACTTCAGTGGAAGAATTTTAAAGAGGAGAATGAGGTGGTCCAGCGAAAAAGGAGTGCTTTGGAGGAATGGAAAAAGTCAAAGTCAGTCCCCCCCCACCTCTCTAGTGACTCCCATTCCCCAACTTCCTAAAACCCACTACCACTCTGAAACCCTCCTATATTGAGCTGGTCAGAAATAGAGGGAAAAGGGAATATGAGACAAGTGAACTCTCTTGTGGGACTGCAGCAGCATTTCTAAATTGAAATATTTGGGGGTTTGTCTGAAATATTTGGGGGGTTGGTCATTCAATTTTGAACAAAAATAAAAAAATGTCCACAGAAAGCACACTTTTCACAATAAATTCTTGTCAAAAACTCAGTTTTCTGCTGAAAAAACTGTTCAACGGAAAATTTTCAAGAAGTTCTCATACTGTGCACCCTCACCTGACTTTACCTATAGCTGCCAAAATACACCATCCTTTCTGGTTGCCAGAACATGTCCCACCCTTTTCCTCTTGGCTTTTGAAACCCCTTGCTTCTTACTCTTTTCCCTGCTGTTGGCAGTGTAAGAGCACAGGAGGGTCTCAGTAACTGGGGTGGGGATTATGGGTTTTGCTCTCTGACCCCGTGATATAAACTCAGTAGCTGCACATGCGGAGGTAGATCATTGCAGGCTACAGAGGTTGCTACATTCTTGTGTTTTTTTAATCCCCTTTGTCCATTCGCAGATGTCTACTCAAATCCATAATGTGGTTCTCTGTGAGGCTTCAAAAACATCAAGCACAGACCTCTGTAGATCTGTAAGCTCTAGGTCTAAAATTGTCTGCAAAGGAGTCTGTTAAAGCATGAGCAGTACAGAAAATAACGTAGAGTCCCTTATTCCCAAGAGTTAAACCAGAAATGTACCTTCAGAAATTGTATTAATCTTTTTATCTCAGTGTCCGGTGGGCACAAATCATATTCCCTTCCCCCCATTCCCCCTGCCCTCCTCAACTTGCAAAGCTGATTAATTTGATTAAAATAAACTGTGGACTGGTTTTGACCCTGCATGTACAAAGCATTGCAGACAGTCTGAGCACTGGTGAGCATGCAAACTTCTCACAAGCACAGCAGGTAGCAGACCTACATTTAACAGCCCATCTGCTCTGTGCTTTTCTGCAGGCAGGAGAGTAGAATGTACACTTTGGAGCCTGGGGTTAAAGGTTTTTTCCTTTTGCTTTCTCTATAGCAGTCTTGTCTGTCAATTTGTTGTTCCTGTGAGTTGGGCTCTCTGCTCCCTTTTTCTGGTGAGCTGTGAGTTAATCACAACTACTTTGCTTCAGGAGAAGAAAAGCCTATTACTAACAATCTCTGCTTGTCCGTGTTTTAGAGCACCAAGGAGCGTTTCCTGTGGACGTGCCCTTTTCATGCACCAGTTCAGCTTTACTTTGTTATCCGCAATCCCAGCCGGTCACGTGACTTTGGTATATCTAAGATCAAGATTTGGAATTACAACACGACGACTCTTAGTGTAAGCAGTTTCTTCTCAACTCCTTGCTGTGTATACTCACCTTAGACCTAGATAGACTCAGTTTGACCTTCCTTCCAAAAGTCTGAAATAAATATAGGTATTGTCTTCTCTAATAGGAAGGGGGATCTGGAGGGATGTCTCATCTACTGTGGGGTTTTGTTGTTGTCTTAATTCTAAGCGGTAGAAATGCAACTCATAGTGTTTTCACCAACAAAGTCAGTATTCTCTTTCAGATCCTTGCTAGTATTTCAGAAGGGGTAACAAAATCCTTGCATAGTGTTTGTTGTGGCTTTACTGGTAATCAGAAATTGAGACGCTGGAAGGTAAGTGCATGTCAATGTGCAGGTCTCTGTTTGGGTTATATTATCAGAATAGAGAAGACTATTTGTCTGATCACATGATTATTTTGTAGATGATTTACGAGAGAGAGATTGACTGACTCTCCAACTCAGGGTCCTGTAGTTTTTGTCACTTGAAATTTGGCATGTACGATCTGTGTATGTATGTTAAAACTTTAAAATATTCTAGCATTGCAAGAGACATTACATGGCAGATGGTTACTGATTCATATGTCTGAAATTCACTGTGAAATTATTCTAGTTAGTACACTATGATGTTCAGTTCAGAAAATTCCCAGGTACTGAGTCAAAGAGGATTTTCTGTTCTGGATTATAAATGAGATAAGCTTTATCCTTTCTGACTTGCTCTCATCTGTGTTCTTATATAAGCATATGGCAATACAAATGTATAGAAACTGCCACAGAGGAAACAGTCTTAACAAACACAATATAACACCAGCTTAAACTATTTTTTGGAATCCTTGTTGCTGTGTGTATTAAATGTGGGTTATAGGATGTTATACTGTAAACAGGGGGGATACAATGGACCTTTCTGAACCCTTTGAAAAGGAATTCTATTTGTGGAGTAAATAATACTGGTCTGTTGTCACCATGTGTTGAATATGTTGCAAATGTAACTGTATATTGATTTGATTAGATACATGAAATAGTTGGAAAACCCCCACTGTGGCCAGGTTCTCAGCTAGTACAAACTAGTGTAGTCCAATTGACTCCTGTGCAGCAGTGCTGACTTATGCCAGCTGAGGATCTAGCCCACTATTTTTCATGTGGGGAAATAATAGAAAACAATTCTGCATGGTCCGCTATCATCTGTGATATAGAAAAGTTAGCATAATTTCTGCTGTATTCATTTCTATTCAAGTATTTTTAAAGAAATAAATAATAGAGCGCTTTACAATTTAAGTTATAACAGCCCTCAGATCACTCCCTTCCCTGCTAAAATAAATCCTGACCAAAACTACTATTTTTTTAAGATCCTGAGTATCACCGCCTGCTTCCCCTTCTTTCTACCCCTCAAAAAAGCCGTGAGTGGGGAGAAGTGTCTAAATGCATCCCAAGTGAATCCCAAATATTTTTGCAATACTATGCAAAGCTCAACTCAGTTTGAACAAGTATTTAAACAGAAAGTGGAATTGTTGAGATTGTTTAGGGATCTAGGATTTTAAAACAGGAGACTGAAGGTCAAAAGAAGTGGTGGAAAGAAAACTATTAGAACCTGCCACACAATTACTACAGAAAATGTAACTGATTTAAGTGAAAATGTGTATTAATTTAAGGGACATCTCAAATAAAAAGTACTGTCTCACTATCATTATTGATTAAAATTTAAGGGCACTTCTGAAGACGACTGCTGCATGTATTGATTTTAACGCAAACGTAATCAAGGTGATATCTTAGATAATCATCAACATAGGCAAGTTTACTAATTTAAGAGCAGTCACACACCAAATCACACAACTAGCTGATTAAGGGCCTGATCTAAAGCCTATTAAGTGAATAGTAGTCTATCCATTGATTTCACTGGGTTTTGGATCTAGACCTACATTTACTGGATTAATTATAAAGGCAGGTATAATAATGACTAAAACTATAAACTTTAAGGAAATTGCCTTTATTACTATTGCCTTTATTTACTTTAGGGATACATAGAATTAACGGGCTTGCTAAATTTAGTGGTTTAAAGTGTTAATTCATGTAAGAAATGTGTTAATCTGTGAGTTTCGCTGTTCATAAAAAGACTCACAATGAAATTCACTTCCTCTTTTTGAGAATTATCTCTGTAGATCCACACTTTTTAGAGCATATGTCTTGGAATCAGACCTCCTGGTACCTGTGGAAAAACAATAGCATTAGGGGTTGTGTGCGTATCTTACTCAAGGAATTAACACTTGGTTATAGGCACCAAAAAAGATGAAGGTCATCAAAAAATATTGATTTGTCGAAACAACCTCTGTGAAACAGGGTCACTTCTGATGAATCTCCCAACTCAAAAAATGTTGAAGAAAATGTCTTGAAATTGTTAAAACATTTTTGAATGAAAAATTCCATTTTCTGGTTCTAAGATTCATAGATTATAGAAACCATTGTGATAATCTAGTCTGACCTCCTGTATAATAGGACATAGGATTTACCTGAGTTAATTCCTTTTTGATGAAGTTAAGGTTAACAATATATATCAGTATATAGGGTAAAATATATTAGAGATGTCACAATTATCTCCAAACCAAATATAATAAATCCAGGAAATTCAGAGCTAAAATTAAACTTCAGTAAATCCAAGCATGTTAATGTATGGAAAAATGCTGCCAGGGCACCCAAATCACCTTACTGTGTCCTATAGGGATACCATGCAATAACTGTACAGGTATGGTGAGTGTTTTGGTCCAAGATAAAATTAATCTGGGAATTTCCTTGTTTTTTTAATTAAAAATTCCATAAATTAACAAAAAACCCAAGTAGAATGTTACCATGTGATATTTCTAGTGATTTGAAGTAGCAACCATATATCATTTTTTAAAAATGTTGTCTTTGATGATCAGTTGCACCAATGTGCGCTGGCTGCTTCCTGCCACTCTGAAGCAGCACAAGAAGCCAGAACATATTGGCCAGTTAAATTGGGTTTACAACTGCTTTGTTTTGCTAGAGCAGCTTAAAACAGCCAGAGTGTACACCCCAGTTTTTTCCATCCTCCACCCCGTCCTTCAAATGCCACCTGCTTTTTGCACCTCTCTGTATTCCCTCATGCATCCCACCAAGTTTCCCCCGCTTGCATTCTCTACATTCCCCTGTGTACACAGACCTGTTTTCCCTCTCTCCTGCACACCCCTGCATGTGTGTACACATAATTTCCCCACCCCATCCTCCTGCACTGCCTACACACACACACACACACACACACCTCCTGTGAAGTGGGTGGACTCCCCTGCAGGGTCCTAGAGCCTGGGCTCAAGCCCTAGTCCGGTAGTCCACACAGCAATGAAATAGCCCCTGCAGCCCAAGCCCCGTGAGCATAGGCTAGCTGCAGGTTTTTCTTTTCTTTGCACATTCTTAGGAGTGAAGTTAGGCCATGATCTGGAACAGCACTTAAATATGCCCTGGCTCTGGGCGCACTGAGATAGCAAGTGTGAGGGACAGAGTCTTGCACGCACCGCCCAGCCCCACACCCCGAGGTGGTGATTTACTTCTCCTTTGGCTGCTCTCGATGCCTAAACCAAATGTGCCCACTTGGGAACACTACCCAGAAGGGGCACATGAATCAATTATTCTGCAGGGAAAGAGTAAAATCTGCAGGGGACATTAATTCTGTGCTTGTGCAGTGGCACAGAATTCCCCTAGGAGTAAATTTCATCTGTATAAAGTCTGCCATCCATCAGATGGATCAGATCAGCCTCCCTAAATGGTGTAGGCCCAGGTCACCATAAAGGATGCCTCAGTGTCTCAACCTACTGTGTAGTTTATGTCACAAGCGAATGGTGAAGGTTGGAGATGCTGGTGGTAGTTTTCTTGGTAGCAGACAATGCCTCTGGAACTCACTTCCAGCAGAAGTACAATTAAAATCAAACTTGCCGTCTTTGCTGAGGCTTTTCCAAGTAACTAAATTTTGGTTTCCTAGCTGACTGGTAAAGCTGCAGGCAAGAGGGAAAACAGCAGGACTTTTGGATTCTCTTACTGAAATCCTGAATGCCTCAACTTAAACCTTAAAAGGTATTCAGATACCATGAAGGTGCATGCCATGCTTACAATAATAAAAGTAGTCTTGTTCAGTAAACTTGTTCCATTTTCTAACTCTTATTCTGGATCCCTGCACAACTGCCAGACACCTTTCTGGGGTACCAGTTGTAGTAGGAAGAGGTCCTGAAACATAAGCCCTTGTATCAGAGGCCTAGTATGAGGCCTGAGGCCTGGACTAAAGAAGTGGTCAAAGCTTTGCTAATATAAAGCAAAGTCAGGCTATGAACTAGAGGCAGACCCTGCTCGAGGAATCTGGCAATAACAGGGCTGATATTGCAGAAACACACATTCCTAAGTAGTGTTAGGTACAAGAATAGACATGCGAACACATTCCAGAAGCATGGTACCAGAACACCCCAATACCAGCACGTTCCCCAAAGATAACAGGAACACACTGACTCATCCTAAAGATTAGGTCAGGATGACAGCATGATGGATAGAGATGTTTTGATCGAACCAACAGGTACAAGGCAATGGGTGGCGCCCAGATACGTCAGGGGCAATACGTAACTTGTTTGTATTGGTGTATAAAGAGGTATCTCAGAGGGAGTGTCTTTGGCCAGCCTAGGGGGGCAGTGGAAAATCCCACCACTGACTGAGCTGTTTCCATTGTCATGGGCATATATGTGCTAGTGTAATTGTAGACATTGATCCGGGGAGGTAGGACCATGCTTCGTCAGCAATAAACCTGGCTGGGTGCCTTCATACCTTAATCGATCTTGTGGTCATTGGATGTTTCGCTCAAGGTCTGCTGTGCCAGCTGTCTGTGCCGAGCTGGGACAGCACACAGGGAGAACACACACACGCATCCAAACATCTAACCACACCAGTGATAAAAGAGAAAATTTAACTTCTGACTATATTTGAAACAATAGCAACAGCTATTTTGGAACTTTAGTTTACTGGCTTCTTCTTACAGGGAATTTAGGACAGTTATATTTTTCCCCAGAGTCTTTATCTTACACAATCATATAATAAAACAACCCTGTAATCTCTAAAGCCAAGACTTCTCTCTCCCCTTCTCAGAGGCTTGGAAGATGCTGACTTTAGTGGAAGTGTTGTGGTTTCACTTAAACATGACAGAGTACCACTCTGTGGTAGTTCTGCCTGCAACGATGCAGAGGGGGTTGGGGTGATAGCTGGACTAGTGCATCTACCACTACACATATCTACTAGCCAAAACTTCCCATTTATAGGTTTACTGGACAGCAGCTCATGGGTTATTTTAGCATCTGTGGAGTTGCTATACTGGTGACCCATAATCTGCAGGGGGAAATTCTGTTCCCCTGGACCTCCACAATGATCCCCATGAAAATCTGATTGCTTGGAACCTACATATAAAAAATGTTTTGTATCTTTATATGGATTAATATCATATTATATTAATATGTTCCCTATTCACTCTGGAGTCAGTATATCAATTCTGTTATATCTGGTACTTGCGGCAGTGCAATACAAATCTTCATGCTTCTATTTCATTTCCTTTAGGACCTTGACGTATGTGCAAAGAATGTGAAACTATATATTGATGAGAACCTTGTATTCGATGGTCAGTTAGAAAAAGGCTGTGGAGATCTAACCACTGATTTCAGCACTACAATTGACCTTAAAGACAATAGACAAGAGATTGCTGCACATTCTACACAAGGAAATAAAAAATCAAATGGAGCTAATAGCACAGGCAATAAGGAGGACCTGTTTTTAAAATACCCACAGCCAGACAGGGTTTCGTTACACTGGAAATCTTCCTTAGAAGAAAATCTCTCTGAGGAAATGATGAATTCCATCAACTATAGGAAAGAGAAATCAACTACATTAGAAGAAGATCTGAAGGTGTTATCAGCTCCTGTGTCTGCGAAGACTCTCAAGAATGATGTGTCAGAATCAGCAGTTATGGAGTACGTTCAGTCTGATGATGAGCTTACTATGAGTGAGCAAATGGAAAAACTAACCGGAATAAAATTATCTGAATCTTCAGGTGTAACTCCATCTTGGTTACAGTCCTCTTCCCGAGTGACAGAGAAGTGCCATAAACAGAAACCCTCCTGGCTGGATAAAGAGCACTCTTTAGATTTGAGAGTTCAAGAGCAGTCTGATGGCACCATGAGGGGCTGTCCAGGACTAATTGATGAGACTATCAAATGTCACGGAAGTGAACTGGGGAGATCCAACAGTAGGAATGCAAATGGAGATGAGAAGACACAAATGGTAACCAGTAAAGGCTGTACTATTGACTTGGACATTTTAGACCAGCTTCCGAACAAATATTGCTGCACCCCTGAATGTCCTGCTAGTGGGAGGAGAAGCGGCAGAAGTGTAAGAAAGAAGGGTTTATGTACAAGTCATGGAGATGAAGGTCTGACACACACAGGTAAGAGCTGAAGACAGCATCCTTAACTCAAGCATTGCTTACATATTCTCCATTATCAGGATTATATGAGACAGGTTTTAGTTACACTAATGCAGTATTTAGTTTTTGTTGTCCTCGAGCAATACAGAGACACCACTGTACTGAGCATAGTGCAAACATATAATGCTAGAGAGTCCCTGTCCTGAACAGCTAGCATTCTAAGGGCAAGTCTTCACTACGGGGGGGGGGGTGTCGATTTAAGATACGCAAATTCGACCTATCGGAGCCGACTTACCCCGCTGTGAGGACGGCGGCAAAATCGACCTCCGCGGCTCCCCATCGACAGCGCTTACTCCCACCTCCGCTGGTGGAGTAAGAGCGTCGATTCGGGGATCGATTGTCGCATCCTGACGAGACACGATAATTCAATCCCCAAGAGATCGATTTCAACCCGCCGATTCAGGCGGGTAGTGTAGACGTAGCCTAAGTTTGGGTGTCAGTCATGTTCAGAGGAGGAATGGATTCCGTGGTTAATTATGTTGGAAGGTTATCTTTGCAATAGGGCTAGTTGGAAGTTCCGATGAAACAGTTTAATCAGATACTGTGTATTTATTAAACCTGAAAAGTTTTGTAAAAATGGTTTAGATTTGATTAATTTTCATTGATTCTCAGGCAGGATTCTGTCAGAAACATGACTGGTTTCCTGCCAGTTCACCTGGTGGGGGTGCTGGGGAGCCTGTGTTTCCATGGTATGTGGCTCCAGATCAGCCCCATCATGTGAGGGCTTCCAGATTCCCTTTCATGGAGCCTGGGAGCCCTGGCTCTAGCCAAGGCTCAGCTTCTAGTTCTCGAGCAGGAAGCCTTAAATCCCTCAGAGCTCCAGCCTGAGCCAGGGCTGTCAGGGTTTCCAGGCTCCAGGACACATAGGCAGAAGCCTGGAAGTCCTGGGATGGGCTCCCAGGATTTGTGGCTCCAGGGTCGCCTTGCTATACAGATGCCCTAGTCATGGAATCTGGGCCTTCCAGACTCCCAAGCCAGCTTACCAACCTATTTCCAAGAAAGTGGACAAGCTGTACCAAATCCTCTATGAGGGCTTTTCATGCTTTCATATGCATCTTCCTCCTAACTCCCTAGGACTGGCAGCAACAGTATAGAGATCAAGTTCTGGGTATTTACACTAAGCCCCTAATGACAGAGAAGGGAAAAGATTAGATTCTTTGGGAAGGAAGCTGTTTTCTTCATCTTCCTTAAATATGAGAATTGCAAATGATCAGGCAATGATGGCCACATACACATTTCATATCTGTGACAAAATTTCACTTTTTACAAATAATCTCCCAGAAGAGCATAGTAAATTAGCCAATGCCCTCATCAAGGAGAGTCAAAATGTGGACAGACACCCTTAGAGCTTCATTTGACATTTCGGATGCTGCTCCTAGATTGGTCGCCTTCTCTGTAACTCATCGCAGACATGCTTGGTTCTTCTTCAAGATGTGTCCCTATGGGTGCTCCATTGTAGGTGTGTCTGTGTCCTTGCGCGTCTGATCAGAGATCTTCGGTAGCCGTCTCTGTTTGGCCCGTGCATGCTCTTTCCCTTCCTTGTGTTATCTGTGCCTCAAGGCTAATTAGTGTTGTGCAGGTGAACCACCCTCAGTTCCTTCTCAACCGCCAATTAGCAATCCATTCACAGATACTTTAGGTCTTTAGAAATGTTCCCTTAGTGTTTTCATTCACTCTTTTCTTCTTAGTGTTATGGGGTTTCTGTTAGTTTTTTCTTCCCTGTTTAAAAATTAATAAATAACCCCCCCTAGTTTTTATTTTATCCCCTTCTCTTCCCCCCACCTCCCACCCCCAAGGGATTGCCCCCAGTAAGGGGCATGCCTGGTTCCCTTGGGTTTAAGAGGCACCTCTCTGACAGGGAAGCCATAGTGGTTACAGATGAACATTCCCTCTGTGTGCGATGCCTTAGAGAGGCCCACATTCCACAAAAGTGTACTTTTTGCTAGCAGCTAAAAGCCAGATCCCCAAAAAGCCAGGAACTAAAGTTGAAACTACACCTGGTGGAGGGATGCAATGAACTCCCATGGCTGCCAACATCACACAAAATCTACCTCTTATGATAGGGACTGGAAAAAGTTGGACTTGTTTGGAAGGAAGACCTACTCTTCATTGATCTTGCAGTTCAGAATTGCAAATTACCAGGCTTAACGGAGAAATGCAACCAAAAGAACTACGCCAAACTTAATGCTTTTATTGACCACCTGCCAGAATCACAATGAGAACAGTTTCAGGCCATTGTATATGAGGGGCAGTTAGTGTCGAGAACAGCACTCCAGACTGCACTAGGTGCTGTGGATACAATGGCCCGCTCGGTATCAACAGTGGTCATGATGTGATGGACACATCATGGTTATACCTTTTGGGGCTCCCAAAGAAGGTTTAGATGATGGTAGAGAATCTCCTTTTTGAAGGCACAAAATTGTTTGCAGTTAAGACTGATGCATCGCTCCACATTCTCAAAGTTGTAGAGACACACTATGGTCATTGGGGATCTACACACCGGGTCAGAAAAGGAAATTTAGTCCTCAGTGTTCCCACAAATGATGTCAGCCCCAGTCCCCTCCACAGCGCTATTATGAACCACAGCAAAAGAAGTCTACATTTCAAAGGTGTAAACCCTCAGCCCCTCAATCTTCAACATCAAAACCTTCCACCTCGAAACACCAGTTTAGATGTCTTGGTCAAGGCTCTGAGAGCCCACTCCCTACAGCATTAGCTGCAAATTTCAGACCTTCCACATCCCTTTGGATGCTGTCTTGCTCTGTTTCTTCAAAATTGGGAATACATATCTACCGACAAATGTGTTTTGGATATTGTGTCAAGGCTGTATCCCCACTTTGAACTTTAGGGTACAAATGTTGGGGCCTGCATGAAAACTTCTAAGCTTAACTACCAGCTTAGCTCTGGTCCGCTGCCACCATTCTCAAAAGCTAATTCCCTTCCCTGGGTAGCCTTGAGAAACCTTTCACCAATTCCCTGGTGAATACAGATCCAAACCCTTTGAATCTT